TTAATGCAATTCAATTCAGAAGGAGGGACAGGTTTTATGAGACAGAAAATTGTTTTGTTTTTAACATGCTACTGAGGTAGAAATATGCAATGGGTAACTGGAAGTCTTTTGTTCAGGGGAGAGATCAAGGCTGGAAGTTTTCTGAATAGCTATGATAGCTAAAACCTTGGTTATAAATGAGATAGGCTGACAGGAGAAATAGTATATAGAGAGAATATGAGGGGCAAGGACAGAACCTTGGGGGGTCAAAAATAGACAAGGAGTTTGAAAAGAAATAGTTAGAAAAGACAAAAACCAGAAAAGTGTCTAAAGTCTCAAATACAAAGGGAGAAGATAGAAAGGACAGAAATAATCAAAAGTGCCAAACACTACATACAGGTCAAGAAGAGAGAAGACTGAAAAAAGCTATTGATTTCATGATTAAGTCATTGGTCACCTGTGCCAGAGAAGTTTCTATAGAGTGGTGAGGATGGATGCCAAATTATAAAGACCTGAGAAGAGGGTAGGTAGTAAGGAAGTGGAGTCATTGGAAGTAGAAAAATTTTTTTCCAGTGGTTTGGTAATGGAGATGAGAGAGATGAGACAGTAGCTGGGTGGGATGCAAAAGTCAAGGGAAGGGTTTTTTATTTCTTAATGACTGAGGCATCCCTAACTACCTGTGTGACTACTGGCAAGTCACTTAACCTTTATGAGCCTGTTTCCTCATCTCAGAATGAAAAGGTTGGTCTTGACAATCTCTAAAGAGTTCTCCAGATTTAGACTTGTGTTTGAGGGAGACAGTTTGGTAGGGTGGGAAAACACTGGCTCTGGAGCCAAAGGACCTAGCTTCATATCCTGTCTCTGGCACTTATTACCTATGTGCCTCAGTTTCCTCATCTGCAAAATGAAGAGTTTGTACTTCATGTTGTCTGAAATCCTTTTCAGTTCTAGATCAATAATCTCTATGATATAATTAACTTCGACTGATAGCCAAAACTGTCAAACTACCAATCTCCCCACCACCATACCCCCAGAAAACTAGCTAGACCCTTTAAAATTCCACTGGGAGAAAAATAAAAAGCATGTACACTTCCTTCTCGGCTGAATTAAATCTCAGTCATAGAATGTCATTGCTGAAAGGGACTTTTGAGACCATCAAAATCTATTGTTCCACTTGGCTTCCCATTGTTTCTGAACAAATTCTGCACCCCTAGCCCTGGCATTCAAGGACCTCCACAAACTGTTTCCATCCTAACTGCCCAGCCCTATCTCATACTACTACCCTTTACATATTCTCTTCCAGCTTAACTGGACTTGTCTTCATCCTGTGTTCATCCTGCTCTTTCCTATAGCCATGGCTTTTTTCATATTGTCCCCAGTCCAGTGCCTGGAGTTTATTTTTCCCTATTTCCATCTATTGAAGTCCCTCCCTTTCTTCCAAGTCTATCTTGGGTCCCACCTATTTGAAGAAGCCTTCCCTGGATGCTCCAGATGAAAATGATGCCTCTCTCCTCAGATTCCTCCCAGCACTTTTATGAAACTCTCCTGATCTCTCTTTCTCTTACAACATGGCTGTTTTCATATTTGCCTCCACCCTCCCCACCACCACCACCACTCCCATCTTATAAACTTCTTGTAAAAAAGGGGGTGTGTATATCTAGAGGCAGCTAGATGAAAGGGTGAGCAGAGTGGTAGACCTGGAGTCAGGAAGTCCTGAGTTCAAATCTAGCCTCAGACACATATCTGTGGACTAGTCACTTAATCTCTGCTGCCTGTTTCTTCATCCACAAAATGGAGATAATAATAGCACCTGTCTCCCAGATTTGTTATTAATTTCAAATGAAATAATATTTGTAAAGCATGTTGCAAACCTTAAAGCCCTATGTAAACACTAGCTATTATATTATCTATATCCCCAGAGTGTAGCATTGTGCTTATTTATCAAGACACTTAATAAACATTTATTGAGTTTAACTGTCATATTCAAAGAGAAAACCAAAGCATACAGTGGGAAAATGATTTGCTCAAGGTCACCCACTGAGTTTGTCACGGTTGTGGTGATAGCAACTTAGTGAAGAAAGGAAGGGGAAAACTTGCACATATATCAAGGACAATCATGGGATTAGAACTGGAAGCAACCTTAAGGATTATCTGATGTAATACACCTCGTTTACAGATGAGGAAGCAGTCCTAAATGTGAGAAATTATTAGCTCAAGGACATGAAACTCATTATCGGCACAGCCAGAATTCAAATCTCAATTGCCTGGTTCAAAATCAATGCCAAAAACTTGGAAGTCATAGAAGGAGAGAGATTGTTTTGCTGTTTGCCCTGAAGCAAGCTTTCAAGGAGAGAATGGGAGGGAAATAAAAAGTCATACAACATCATGTTGCCCCAGAGCCTCTAGAATCACCCTCGAGACTCTTGGGCTTCTTATGTGCAACTTTATTCATGATGAACTTTTTTACATTAGTCAAATGATTACTGGATAATATCATGGAATCCATCTGCATTCCCTCAGCTTTCCAAGATATTCCTGAAAGAAATCCAAAGAAATCACTTTGCTTGAATGGCCTGTTGCATTACTACATAGGGAATACCTGTTCCTCTGATTAAGGAATTCAGTGCAGCAGCCCTTACCCGACATTCTGAACATGCATTGCTCTGTTTCAGAAGGGTGGGATTTGGGGATAGAATTTAAAATTACTTTTGCTGTTTCTTTTAATTGAACTTGCTCAGTTTGTTTCCACCACCCTGGTGCAGTCCCTTATCCCCTCACATCCGGACTATTGCAATGGCCTTCAAATGGTCACCCTGCCTCAAGTTTCTCCGCACTCTACTCCATCCTCCACTCAGTCATTAAATTATCTGAGAAATACATCTGACCTTGTCACTCTCTCCCATTCAATAAACTCCTATGGCTCCTTTTAACCTCCAGGATCAAATATAAAATCCTCTGTTTGGCTTTTAAAGCCCTTCATAACCTGACCCCTTCCTACCTTTCCATTCTTCTTACATTTTATACCTTGTCAAATACACTGGGATCCAGTGACACTGACCTCCTTGATGGTCTTCACATAAGACACTCCATCCTGACTAAATTTTCACTGGCTCACTGTTTGTTAGTACCTTTCTTTTATTGACTATCTCCCATTTATCTTGTATGCAGTGTGTACATGCACAGTTGTTTGCATGTTGTCTACCCAAATAAACTGAATTAGGGGAGAACAGGGACAGTTTGGGGAGAGTTTGGGGGGTTGCCTTTCTTTGCATTCCCCAGCACTTAGCACAGTACCTGGCATATAGTAGATGCTTAACAAATACTTGTTGACTTCATTTGACATGTCCCTTCCCAGAAATAGTCCCATGATTTTAATCAATGCAAATACCAATTGAGGATTTTTAGAATTGCCACTTCAACAAATTGCTTTAACTTCAGCTCATCTGGGTTTTATTACCATTGGTTTAGCCCACCTTTAAAGAAAGCCCCTGTTTGCATATGTCACATAACATATCAGGCAGTAACATCTGTATTATCTTTACTTAATGACCTTCTGCCTCTTAGGGTACCATAGGGCACCATTACTGATTAGTTGCTCTGGGAACCGTCGGGCTCACCAGGCAGCCAACCAGGCACCACCATTGTTCCACTGCTAATTTTGAAACCATAACTCTGCCCTTCTTCTGCCAACTGAAGCCTGCTGGTGCCCAATTTGGGAAAACTGAATGCTGCCCAGCATAATACTTCCATGGAAAATAACAACACTCCCTAAATCTTCCATCAGAAGGCAGGCTTCTGCACCCTAGCCTTTTTTTGGAACTAGGAACTACCTTAATTCTTCTAACAACTACTAAAGCTGCAGGATCAAGATGGAGCCACCCTTTTGTAGCTAAACACAAGACCACCTACCACCACCTACGTACCTACCAGGGTTGGAGTTCGGGTAGATGTGGTTCAGAGAACTTTCCAAAGGAGGTGTGAGCCCAAAGCAGAGTGAGGAGGAAGATACATAAGAAGGGAAAAGAGCATAAAAGAAGAACAAATTAATAAGGGAAATAGTAGTCACAGAAAAGAATCCACAGAGAAAGCAGGCTAGGATGGGGGGGAACAGGCAGAAATGTATAAGGAAAGGTCATAGCATGAAAAAAATACCTGTCATTACAGAAAATAGGGAATAGAAAGGAGGAATGGAAGGAAGGAAAGAAGGAAGGAAGGAAGGAAGGAAGGAAGGAAGGAAGG